GGCAGTCTTTGCTCATGTTTGCTGGGCTGTGGCTGTGTTTACTGCTGTCACCTCAATGTGTTAATTTTCTGAGCATGGACTGTTAAGACCAGACACAGAAAGGACCTGACAGCCCTGCTCAGCTCTAGGCCACTAGGGAAGAGGAAGTCCAGCTCTTCCCACTACAAGATGGTGGTTCCAGCCACCCCCAAGTTCAGGAGGTGTTTAGTACTGGTCCTGGATGGGCATTGGAAGCCCCAGCCTTTACTCATCCACTGTCTCTTCTAGACCACAGGGAGGCAACCCTGCTTGTCACTGGGGCCTCACTTCCACTTTCCATCCATGGAGATTTATTTATCTTTAAATTTAGCTACGACAGCATGAAGTATAGTTCATTTTTGACATTCTGCCTGGCCACAAAGAACAGAACCAATCCAGATGTCACAGGTCCAGGCTGGAGGACCACAGGGAAGGCTTTGAGAGGAGCAAGGTGGGGTGTCTCAGGCGGTCCTGGTGATGGCACGGTGACCGTGCTCTAGATGCAGCGGAGGTTCTAGACACAGCACACGCTCTAACAGCTGGGACGGCATTCCTGGGCCCAGCGGTGCTTAAGCTCGCTCCAGTGGGCTCTGGTGCCCGTGCTGGACTCCTGCCTGCAGATTTCCCCCTTCCTTTACTTGGCTCTTAGTACAGAAATGGCAGTAAATACGAAGTCTCTTCCTGAACTATCTATCGACCTTCCATCTTACTTTTTTTAGACAGGGTCTTGCTGTGTAGCTCAGGCTAGGCTCGAACTCATGGTGACCCTCTGCCATCTTACTTTCTTGCACTCAAGTAGTTTAAGTTAGTAAGCTCTGGGACTAAGGGACAGGGTTCTTACCGGGTCAATAGGAATTTTACTATGTGTAAAACCCAACAGGCAGGTATGGATTAAACCTTGTGTCTCACAAAGCATTAAAAGCTTACATTTTTAAAAACAAGTTTGATTTTCAAATGGAAGCCACTCATTTGTGGCAAGAACACAGGCAGGAAGCAGCCGGAGCTTGCCAGGACGTTACCTTTGTAGACCCTTTTGATGAGCAGGGGTCCGTCTCCAGACACCGACGAGTGGCCTCCATCCAGACTCAGTCCCAGCCCAGCTGAGGTCTTCAGCACTTCCACGCACAGAGCAGCTCCGCCCCGCCCTGTAGCGACAGTGTCGTTGAGATAAGAATGAAAGGCCTGTTCAGACGCTGCCTATCCAGGTGCCCCAGGCGCGCCACCCCGCACCAGGGCTCCTGGCACCTCCAGTCCGGTCTCAGAGGAGGTGCGGGCCAGTATTAGCTGGCCTCAGTACAGAGCTGCCTGCCTGCCCGCCCGCCCGCCCGCCAGTGTTCCCAGTGCATTTTCAAACCTCTGCATTCTTGTGCGTTTTCTGCAGGCATAGAAAATCTTTTCGTGCCCAAACAAATGCCTAGAAGACAAATGACCCTTGTCAAGCTCCGCGTTCTGGTGGTCCACAGCTCAGGGAAGACACAAGTCACACCAAGGGGACAAATCTGACTTCCTGCCAAGCCTGGTTAATGCAGCTGAGGAGTGTCACCATCTGGTACTGAAGTGAGCGGCCCCAACGTGGCCAGCATTGTGTAGAGTGCCCCAACTTCCCGGGAAGTACCCCGGGACCAGGCCGGGCCTCCTCCCATGCCCCTGGGGCCTTCGTGCTCTCGGGAGGATCCGCCTCTGGCCATGGCTGTCTTCCTCACACACTGGCTGCCTTTATTGGCATCTGGCTGCGGTGTGGGGAGAAGAGTTTCCATGGTGACGCTTGCTCCACAGCAACCAACTTGCGCCCACTGCATGCTGGCTGGGAGAGGCCAGGCCCGGGTCTGAATAGTGACTGTGAATCTGCCTTTTAATTTCTCTGACTTACGTGTTGTACCCACCAAGAATGTTAAGAGTTGTGTGGAAAGGCACATTTTAGTTGCTGGGGGAGGGGAAGGCCCACAAAAGCAACACACTGCACACTTTGCAAACTTGACAGAGTCGAGGCTGCGCACCATCTTCGCATCTGAACATAAAGATCAGCCCATTACTGCGGTTTAAGGAAAGTGAATCCACACAATCAGAAATATGCTGACAGCGGGATTGGCATGCTTTGTAATAGGTCAGTTGCCATTGAATGGAAAGGGCCTATTCTGCGAAGGTGCTCAACTGCTGCCGCCTCCTGGGTCCCCTGGGAACATTCAAAGGTATTAATGTTGGTCCTCACTCACTCCGCAATGGCTCTAATGTAACAGTGAAATATCCTGGATATTAGGGTTTTAAAGAAGGGCTTTTTTTTAAACTGGGGATTGAACTCAGGACTTTGTGTTTGCCAGGCAGGTACGTAAGTCACTGAGCTATCTCCCCAGCCCAAGAAGCTTTCTACTGTAATCCTAGCACTTTAGAGGTCAAGGCAGGAGGGCTGCTGTGAATTTGATGCCATCCAGGGCTACGTAGTTCAAGACTACCCTGGACTACCTAGCGAGACTCTTGAGCCACCCCTCCCAAGCTTTCTAGGTGCCTCTGATATCCCCTAGTCAGATGCTTTATGTGTATTGTAAGGAAAATAACCACGTACAGTGTGCGGGCCCATAGCAGAAGAACCATAAGGAATAGAAATGGGGAAGAAGAATAAACTTAGGCCTTCAAGGGCTTTCAGCGTGATAACTACGGGGTCTGGTTCGAGGCCAGACTCTGATGGTGCAGAAGGAATGCTCCGTGACTGTGAATGATAGTAGGGAAGTCTATAGCTGAGCTGAGAAGTGGTTAGGCTAGAGCACCACATGTTGCCTTGGACGGACTGAGTGCCCGGATGCCAGTGAAAGTGCCCCAAGCATTTGAGTCAGGGTTGGGACAAAGGTGGGCATGACGGGGTCTGAGGAGTAAGGAGCCCCCTCTATCAGGAAGGCTCTGCTTTCTGGAGGATAGGAGTGCCCCAACAGCAGAAGCATCCCTGTGCCCCTGCAGAGGCATCTGGACAAGAAGTTCTCATTGGTTCAGTGGAGTTACTCAGCAAAACCATCACGTTGCTCAGGCCACAGTGAGGCCGTGTGGAGCAGAGAGGTGCTCAGCTACCCTGACGTCACGAGGAAAGGCGCTGAGGAGGAAGGAAAGCCCATCCGGAAGGCTGTGTCCAACCTGACCCTCCGTGGACTGTACATCCTGGACTAGAGAGAGCTGTCATCCCTGAGCGTAGGCACGGGCCCCCCTGGGAACGCTGCGGTGCTGTCACCACGCCGTTATCAGCTTGCGCACCAGAGACGAGCCCTCTCGTTGAGGTGCCAAGCAGCCCATGGCAGAGGCCACAGAGAGCCCTGAGTCTGCTCCCCTCGCTAGCAAGCGCTTCTTGGCTGAGGAAGGCTCGGTCCTGGTTTCAAACACAAAATGATGTTTGCCCTTCATTTCCTAAATTTTAGGATGGGAGAGTCAGACTTGATGTTTTTCCAGGACACTGCTCAGCCTGGAATTCCTCCATCCTGACCAATTACCTACAAGGCAAATCAGCTTAACAAGAAGGTATCAACAGGAAAGGGCTTCCTTCTTAGAAGACTTTAGAGAAGTTGCCAAGGCAACATGGTTTTAGTACTGCGGGCTTTTAATTGATTTATAACACTGCTTTTGCAAGAAGCATCCCCAAACACTAGACTTCACTGCATTTAACTTTTCTGCCCACACATGAGCCATTCTTTCCTCTTGTATCTACCCAGGATCTATCTTCTGGTTGTTAAACTGCTGTCTTACCAGTTCCAGGCTCCGGCGAGGTGGCGTTTTTGGTCAGTGAACCCTTCCCATTGGCCGCGCGAAACTCCTGCCTGACGGAGTGCCTGATCTGGTTGTTCCCCTTCTTGATGACCACCAGAACCTGCTTGTGCAGCTGTGCCTGATGCAGAACCTTTAGGACATCGCCCTGGGCCAAGCTGGCCAGCGAGGCACCGTTGACAGAGAGAAGAAGGTCCCCTCGGCTCATAGTCCCTTCCTGAGAAGCCATCCCCTGAGAAAACACCCTGTGGATCTGAGACAAAGAAAGTGAGAGCTAAAGCCATTTATGACCACAGACGCTATGTTCTTCAGTAGATTAGTGGTCTCAGTTCAAGTTTCCTGGTCATGCAAATCCTTGCTTTATCAGTGTGGGAGGTAGGGTGACAGATGTCAACACCGGCATCTCACATAGTCACACAGCTTCTTGTTAGGGAGTAATATGTGCCTGACATCCATTGGGTGACATCAAGACAGGTGAGCGGGGCTGGCCCTGGTCTGATGGAGGTAGCTCTTGTAAGTGATCTCAAGGCCTTGGCATGATACACATTTTATTATTGTTCTTTAGAAAAAAAATAATTGTATAAATGAATACAAGTTTGGTCTGTTGAGCTTATTTTTCTAGTGCTTAAATAAGATATTTAGCCATTTTATAAGGAGATAGATATTATGTCTGTAAGTATTGGCATTTGGCCTTTTAGCATGTCAGCCAAGTGTAAAAATGCTCATCTTGCTAGCTGTGGTGGCATATGCCTATAATTCCAGCTACTCAGGAGGCTGAGGCAAGAGGATCACAAGTTCGAGGCCAGCATGGGCAGTTTACTAAGACCCTGTTTCAAAACAAATAAAAAAGCTAGGTGCCAGGCATATGGTGCACAGCTATAGTTCCAGCACTCAGGAGGCTCAAGTCAGAGGGAGCGACATAGTGAGTTCAAGGCCACACTGGACTATGTAGTGAGAGCCTGAATCAGAAACCATAAGAGCTGGGATGTAGCTCAGTGTACAGTGCTTCTGGATGTACTACTCAGTACCAAAGCAAGTAATCCCCCCACCAGCCCTTAATCCCCCAAAGTCTAATACCCCCAGAATACTCATTTTTTTCAGTGAAAAGTATTTTGTACTACTGTGTTGTTACAGGGGACAAAACCCAGCTCTCACTGAATGCTCTGATTGAAATTCTGGTCCTGACCACATTTTGTAGCAGCTTTAGGAGAGATTTCCTGAAAGCCTAATGGCGCCGTCACTCACCATGACTGATTTCAGGTCCACATCGAGCCCTCCTACCACGCTGAATCCAAGACCTGAGCCTTCTTTTTTATTCAACACTACAAAGCAAATATCTTCTTTATTCTAGAAGAGAGAAACAGGAAAATAATTATACATTCCTAATGCCAAGAATGAGAAGCTTTAAGCTGAGTGGGGCAGGCGCATGCCAGTCATTTCAGCACTCGAGAGGCTGAGGCAGCAGGATTACCGTGAATTTGAGGTCAGCCTGAACCACACAGACTCTGCTCAAAAGACCAAACCAAAACAACATTCTCCCAGTGTCCAGCTCTCACAGAAAGGTCGAGGGAGCCCCGGCTCAGCCATCCCACACCCTTCTGGGTGGTGCCTGAACAGCAGATTTGAGGGTGCAGTTAGGAAGAGACGCACAAGTCCGCATGGGCAGGGAGCTCTTAGAAATCCCCACATCTTCAAAGCTTCCGAGGCACCACGCGGCCTTTCTTCCTAGACATGGTCAGAGCACACAGCTTAATCACCAAGGGAAGCCTTTGTCCTATAACTGTCCACATCGCAGCAAAGCCATTTTCAGCAGCTGCAAATGCTAAGTGCACGGTCCCCATGAAGGCACATGGAAGCCCTCCGCTTTATGCTCGCGCTTCACTGCGTGCAGCTTGTGCAGTTCGGTGCAGTTCATTAACTGGTCATCATTGAGTGTGCAGTACATTAAAAATATAAAGGATTTAAAATGAACTGTCAGCCCATACTGGGACTAGGATATTTGTAGTAGCATCCTCAGGTTAAGAAACAGAAAACTGCCCTGTTGGAAGTGAAGACGTCCTGGAATAGAGGATTTTAAAATGAACAAAAGAGGTCAGCTAATTCTGAATTTTAACTTGCTTCATCCGCACACTTGAGATGACGTTGCAATTCAGGAAGTTCTGCACTGTGTAGCTGCCTGGGAGGTGACTGACATCCCCTATTCCACAGTGTTCCCAAGTCAGCCATGGAAGAGCAGTCCAGCAGCACCGCTTGAAGACTGGCGAGAGGCAATGGAATGACAGGAGGGGACAGCACCTCCACAACATGCAGGCAGGAGCAGTGTTCAGGCTGATCCGTAAGTATGAGTACTCGTTTCCAAGCATTTTAGATCACTGTATAAAAAGTTCATTCGAGGGCCAGCCAGCCAGCTCACCAGGTTAAAGCGCCTTCTTAGGCAGATGCAGGGACCAGGGGTCTGAGCCCCAGTGTGCTGTGCTAGCCCACCCCTATGGCACGCTGAGACTGGTGATTGAGACCAGGCGTGGTAGCACAGGCCTATAATCCGAGCACTTGGGAGGCTGAAAACAGGAGGATCACAGGAGTCTGATCTGTGTAGTGAGACCCTGTAGACCCTACCCTGTATTAAATACATTAAAAAAAAAGTTCATTCAAATAGCGGTCCATGTGTCGATACCCACAGCACTGTTGAGCAGCTGGTGATGCCTTAGGGCACCATGAACCATTCATATGCTTGGGTGCAGCTCAGCTGGTGGATCACCAGGCTTTCTAAACAAAATTACAACATGTGGTCTGGAAATGACCTTTGTGCAGCTTTCTGGGAGGTCATGGTGGATGTGGACATTTCGATACTTAGATATTTAAAAACCTATTTGATCAGAGAATATATGAAAGTGGTACTTTTCTTCACTATAGGACATGTCTCCACCAACATTTTAATGGCTTTCCTTTGAGACCAGGTCTTGCTATGTTCCAGGCTGGCCATGAACTTGCTATGTAGCCTAGGTTAGCCTTGCTATGATCCTCCTGCCTCAGCCTCCCAGAGTGCAGGGGTTTCTTTGGATTTCTCTCTAATGGTGTTTGAGGAACCAAGTTTGCCAGCAGCTGACTTGGAGGCCAGATTTTGCCTGAGAAGCTTGGCATAACATCTCGGAAGCCAGGTGATCCATCAAGTAATCTCCCAGGCTTGGGTGTGCTTGAGTCAGGCCAGGCTCCTCTTCGGCCTCTCAGCTCACCCCACTGCCAGGTGGCTCCAGGAAACAGTGCGTGCAGTCTAGTTTTAGCATCTACAAACCATACTCACTAGGCAAGAACAAGGCAGAAAATCACTAGCATGAAGATGGCGGAGTGAGGCTATCTCTGCTCACTGTGCTGCTCTGAAAGCAGCTTAAGACAGAACAAGACAGAGAAGAGCTGCACTCCATCAAAGCAGGAGTGATCTTAAACAGCAAACCCCACGGGAAATGGTAAGCCAGCGTGAGGGCGGCCCAGGTGCCGGGCAGCACCTGGTAGATCCTGTCCACACTAAAGTCAGCACTTGGTTTCTGGTTCCTGAAAGTGTGCATCTCGTGTATGAGGTTGGCTGAGATGCTCTAGTCTTCCTCTATGTTTTATCTAACACAGTACAAAGTTTGGGGCCAAGGAGGGCTGGCAGCGTGGGACTGCATCCATGCCGCCAAAAGGTCAGAAACCCCGAGGGAGCCCCTTTTCCCCGCACCACCGCCTCCTGGTAGCAGTGGTTGAAGGAGGCAAGACGATGGAGGCCTGGACCTTGGCTCAGGTGATTCTGAAGAGCTCATCCTGGAAGCACTGGGCTGGGAATGAGAAGGGAGAGGGGGCCAAAGGGTCTCCTCCACCTGCCCTTTCTCCTCACCTTCTTAGTCACTTTACTAGATGCTGAGGCTGCTCCTTGGCTGAGAAGCCACATGTATTTCCTTCTGGGTAACATCTGAATTTCTGCAGTAGTATTTGTGAGTGACATTACTAACCTGGGCATATGACCAATTTCATTCACATCTGAGTTTTTTCTCTAAGTACTCATCCAAGTGTTCCCGAGGGTTGCTGGTAACTCATATTGTCAACAGAAGACTCAAGCTCCTCTACACAGCCTTCCAAGTCTCTCTCCTGCATAGGCAGGCAGAGTTCTGTGTCCTTAGAGAGACATTGGCCTAGATTTCCCAACCCCATAGAGCAAAGATTGCTGTACTGTTACTTCCGGAACTCTTTAAGGGTTAACTCCATGTCTGAGACCATCTGGAAGCACAAGTGGCTGGCATTCAGGTCATCACTAAAGACTTTGCCTCTAAGTTAAAATTCCAGTCATAACCCAAGTTATTTAAATGTCATACCAGTTGTAAGTTGAGGTTCTACCTTATTAGGGTTTAAATTCCTCCTTCCTCCCTCTTTTCACTGGGGATTGAACCCAGAGCTTTGCAGTGAGCTATGCACCCAGCCTTTTTTTTTTTCATTTTGAGACTGGGTCTCGCTAAGTGGCTGAGTTGCCCATGCTGGGCTCAAATTCCTGATCTTCTTGCCTCAACCTCCTAGAGCGCTGGAATTATATATAGGCTTGGGGCACCACACCTGGCTGGGGTTTAAATTTCTATGAAAAGTCCTAAGTATCTTACTCTTGAGAGAATTTTTTTGTAGATGGAAACCTATTTATTCTCTATATATGCTTTGTTACTGTTTACTGCCATACTTGATTCATTTAAAAACTTATTTTGTGTTATTCTTCCACTATTTTGTTACAAAGTTGTTTTATTTTAGGTACCGGAAATCGAACTCAGGACCTTACTCTTGCAAGGCAGGTGCTTGTGCTGCTGAGCTGTATCTCCAGCCCTCTGCTTTATTTATTTTATTTTTGGCAGAACCGGGAATTGAACTCGGGCCCTTGCGCTTGCCACACAAGCGCTTATTCTACTGAGTTATCTCCCCGGCCCCTTATTTTTTCATAAAAGACAAAAATTAAAAAAAAAATTAATCACTAGTCAGCTTCTTTGTTCTGTACTTGGGGGTTCGGCAACTCCTACGCAAGCCTGGCGACACTGCTGTAACTCTTCGCTCAGCAGCAGGTGGCGCCATTCGCTAGTTCATGTCCACACTGAGGCGGACAGAGGCTCTTGGGGTCATTGCCGTTTCCTAGCTCTGCTTAGAGGACCCTCAGCAGCCGAGCTGCACACGCGGGAAGCTGTGGCTGGCTGCGTGGGGGGAGCGTCCGCACCCGCCGGGCCCCTGCACACCCAGGGGAGCTGCAGCTTCGGCCCGCGCTGGGGGGCCGCGCGGGTGGGCGCGCTTCACCTTCCAGTCCTCGCCTTGCCACTCACCTCAGATTGTGCTTTCGCTTCCTGAAGCAGAGCTGGAATGGTCGATCTCGACCCCACTGACTCCAGCACGGCCTGTAATCTCTGCTGGTCCTCGGCTGAGACGAGGAGTTGATCCAAACTAAACAACACGCACACATTTGAAGAATGTTAAAGAAAAAAACGACTGCCCCTTTCCGAGGGCAGCGTTGGCTGCTCCCTTCCCTAGCGGGCCGCAGGGCCCTTCTGCTGCTGTGCTTTCAGTCCCACCCCAGCCGGCCGGAGCCCGAAGGGCGCCCCAAGTGCTTCCGCAGCAGCTGGAGCGGGACGCGCCCGCGGTCCCACAGGCTCAAGGAAAAGCTCCGAGAGGCAGCAGAGGCCGCCCGCCCCCGCAGGCCAGCTCCCGCCGTGCAGCCCGCCCGCCCGCCCGCGCCGTGCAGGGCAGCCCCTTTGGCCAGCGCTTTTCCCGCAGGCCCTTTTGTGTTTCCAGCACTGCTGTGCACTGCGGAGGGGGTCAGTGTGCTGTGGTGCCCTGAAAGGAGCCTCAAATACAGGGCGTCAGCGGAATTAGCCAGGGCAGGCCAAATGGGGTCTGTGGTTTGGTTAACAGGATCGTTCAGTGTTAACGTCTATCTTTTCACAAACCAACCGACCCGGCTTCTGTAAGATGGCAACTTTGGGAAGAGCTAGGCATGTGGGAACTCTGTATTTTCTGTTCCAAAATAAAGCAAGTATTTTTAAATAAAAGGAAGGCAAATACTTACTTAATTGACCAGCTCCTCCCCAAAGGCAGGCCCTGGCCCGGCCCTCGCCCTTCGCTGGCTGCTCTGGGTGCTGCAGGCTCGCTGGGCGGAAGGGCTCCTTCCAGGGGGCCACTGCATGACCTCCTGGGGACAATCTCCAACTGGGTTTTGAAGATGACAGCAGTGGGCCCCGCAGGGTAATCCTCGCCGCCACAGAGCTTGTCCAGATCCGGCATGCTCAGGGCTCTCAGCTCCTGCAGCTTAGAGCGCGACACAGGTGAGGGCTGTGTGTGGCGCACGGAGGACTTACTCTTCCTGGAGGGAGAGGGTGGGGTCACTGTGGGGGCAGGAATCCCCACAGGAACCAGGGACTTCTTTTGGTTTGAATTGAGACCCTTGCCGATGGTCTCCAGTGGGTTCTGCCGAGAAACGACCAGCATTGTGCTCGACGGGGACTTGGTCATTTGCGGGAGGAGGGCACTGGCTTCACTCTGGCTTTCACTGCAGGAGCTCAAGCTGCGCCTCAGGGACCTCGCTGCGGCGTCACTGGCATGGCAGAGGCTCCCAGAGGTGATGCTTCCAGAAGACCGCCTGCTCACCGGAGGCTTGGTGCTCACAGACAAAAATGGGGACCCCCCAGCCTTAGCTGTGGGCCGATCGGAATTGGCCAGGTTCTCAAAGGACTTGATCCTTTGCTTCACAGAAAAGAATGAGGTAGATTCGAGGGGCCAGTTCTGCTCATAGTAGTAGTGCCTTCTGGTGACTCTGACTTTGTCCGAGGTGAGGCAGCTGGCCTCCTGGACTGAGACGATGTCTCCTTCACCCGTTGTTTGGAGGCTCCTTGATGTTTCCACCAGAGGCTTTACACTGTATAAACCCTGTCCATTAGGCAGGCCCCCAACACCACCTGCGGATGCCTTTGCCTCCAGTGGGTGACCACTGCTCTTCACAGGGACCTGGCTGTCCCGAGGAGGGCGATCCGGGCTGTGTGGGGCAAGACCCTCCCGTCCGAAGTGGCTTGAGAACTGGGCTGGCATGGAGTAGGTCCTGGTGGCCGGCCGTGGTGTGAAGTAGGGTGTGTCCTCCCCCAGAGGGCCCACTGGGGTCCCGTTCCCGGGCACTGCTAGGGAGTTTGATATTCGGCTTGGTCCTCCCTGGGGGGAAGCTGCTTTCTTAGGAGGCGGTTGAGGGGAAGAGGAGGAAGCCAGTTTGGCGACACAGACAGATCGCTGCATTTCCTGCTCTGCAGGGGAGGCGTGAGACATGATTGGCGATGCATGATTTGGGGACAGTTCCACTGCCTGGTGGGATCTTATTTCACTCTTCTCCTGACAGTGGCTCTGGGCCGAGATCCCCCCCTGTCTGTCACTTGCAGCTGGTTTGTCACCATGTGCAGTCTTTGGCATTCTGTCAGAAGAAATCTCAGCTATTTTCAGCTGGGTTGTCCTTTCTGGGGGGTCACTGGCAAGTCTCCTATTGCCTTTTTCACCACTGCCCCCAGGTTGGTCCTCTGATGGCGAGCCTGTTGGGCTGCACGTGTGCTGCTCTCCCTGTCTGATCCCTGCTGAGGACACACTGGGCCCTGAGGCTGTGGGGCTCATGGGCCCAGGCTCAGCACTGGCACCCCGAGGGGATCGGAGAGCAGCACAACAGCCTCTGCTGGCTGCTGAGTGGACCGCGGCATGGAACCTACTACATGTGCCCTGCTCAGGAAGGGCCCTGGGGGAGGCCAGGAGCGAAGGGACGGATCGGAGGCTAGTGTCTGATGCTGAGGACCTTAGCGCACCAGAGGTGGCCAGTGCGGGCCTGCTCTCCAGCATGTCCTGGGGAACCTTGGGGGTGTCTGTGGCGTCTCTGTCAGGTTCCTCATGGTCAGCTGTGTGTAGCTGGTGGGATGCTCCTTTAGGAAGCATCCTGTGGGAGGTCTGGGGTGAAACTAAGGACTTCCTGTGATCTCCCCCGGCGGCCTTAGCAGAGCCTGAAGCAGGCCCCTCGCAGCCAATTTTGCTTTTACTTTTGATGCTGAGTCTCTTTAGCTTTGGGCCACCCTTGGCTTTCTGACAGTTACTCAAGAGTGCTTCCACTGATCCTTTTTTAGGTGAGTCCTTATTCTCAAGACTGACTTTCAGCAGAGGAGGGCTACTGGGCATAGCACCCCCTTTTTTGTGGCTTGAGCTCCACACCTGGATTTTGGAGTCAGGACTCCTGGCTGGTGGTGTATAGGGCTCCTTCTCAGTTTTGCTCTGCATGTGGGTACTGTGGTTATTCTTATTGATTTCTTTAAACCAGGCCATGATGGGCCTCTTGGAGATTATTTTTGGTTTCTGTAACAGGTCATCCAAATCTTCACTTTCAGAGACATGTAGATTTGCCAAAACTGGCTCTCCATTCTTAGGGACAGTTGCACTAGAGGAGTACATTTTTCCCATTGCAGTAGCATTTGTTTCTTGTTTATTTGGGGTTCTGTCATCCAGCAGGTTAAGTTCCAAACCATGTATCATGTTGGGGAAGCTGAGTGTGACTGGTGTGTTGTGACAGTGCCTCGTGGCCACAGAAGGCTGGCCACTATCCATGGCTGAATTAGCGCTGGGGACTCCCACAGTTCCTTCTACACATGAGGACCTGTGGTTCTGCACACTGCCTGTGTCCGCAGGCATTTTCTGCTCCTGAGAGCTCATCTCCAGGAGTGAGGATGGCTGGGGAGAGTTTGGGACCAGAGTGCATGAGGCTCTTGGCAGGAAGGAGGCTTTCCCACAGGGGCTTTCCATGGACTCACTCCTGGCACTGTGCTGGAGCGGCAGAACTTTGGCTGAAGCAGGGCAGGGCATAGCCTGAGTAGGAAGATGGGTGTTTGCTGAAGGTGAGCTGGGGCAACCATTTGTGGAACAAATTTCAACGGGCTCTTCCTCAGATTCTGTGGTGTCCTCCTTGTGAGAAGACCCCTGAGGATGAGGAGGTGACCAGCTGGCTCTGGTAGACATGTGTGCAGCTTCAGTGAGTGACTCTGGGTCAGAAGATGAGTCCTCGGCATTGCCATACATGGATGAGAGAGATGGTTCTGTGCTGTCGCCCAGGCCTGATGGGGAGAGACTGTCATCATGAAAACTGCTAAAGTTTCTAGAATAGCTGCTCAGAAAGTTTTTGTTCACAGTAAAATGTTTATCAGGATGAATGGAATCCAAAACTGAAGGCTGGGAGGCCCACTGTGGGACCACAGGAGGACCAGCAGCCCAGGCCTTCTTTGGGGATGGTGACCGGTCGCCTGTGCCCGGCTGGGCAAGGTGGGCGCTTTCCTCATGACACCCACTGTTTCCCTTCTGAGAAGGCTGGAGCCTGGCTGTAGAAGCCTCTGATTCCTTGATGAAGCTGTCGATGTCCGTCACGGGGCTCCCTCTGCTCCCAGATGGACAGCAGTGCCCCGAGATACTGTCACATGTGGCTTTGATCCTGTCTGTGGATGCTGGTAGGAAGGGGTTTGCAGACAGAAAATCTGGGCCCTGGAGCAGAGCAGCCTGTTGGGAGCTGTGAGATGTGCCAACTCTAGTCACTGCAGGGGCCTTCCCATGGTCACTTGGAGCTCCTTGACTCCCCTCCTGGGAGGTGCGCGGGTCTTGTGGGAGGACCGTGCTCGCTGGAGCGGCTTCCTCAGCCCCTGGCCCCGCACTGCTGGGGACAGCCACTTTCACGATGTCATGGGGTGCACAGGCTCCTGGTGCAGCCTCGGTCTCGCTGAGGTCAGGAGGAGCCACTGCTGTCCCCACTGGGGATGTGTGGCACTCGCCGGGCAGCCTCACTGCAGAGCCACCCTGGGATTCGGGCTCGCAGGCCCTGCATGAGGCAGGCTGGCTGGGACTTCCTGTGTCTGTGGAGACCTTGCTGGGGTGAAGAGAAGTGGCTTCCTTCTTTCCTGGGGAAGGGAGGAGAGCCGGGGAGCTGTGTGGTCCTGTGTGGAGAGCATAGGAAAGGTGGAGTGGTAGGAGAGAAAACAGGAGCCTTGTGATATCTAAAATGTTATAAACAACCTCAGCATTTTTGTCAGGAAGATATTCCTCAGCCTACATGTGGGCCTTGTCTTTCTGTTTTTGTCTCTCAAATTACAGAGTGCTCACATTTAACAAACTCCACCCTTCTTTAATCGCCCTAAAATAACTCATTCTAGCTGGCAGGACGAGCACGTGAGCCTCTCGATTCTCAGAATGGCTTTTAAAGGTGGGGAGCACCAGAGACTCTGTGCTTCTTGGATTTCTTTGCACGATCTGCCCGCCAGCAGCAGAAGCTACCGCAGGAGCAGCGAGGCTGCTGTCTGTCTGATTCCTTGGGTTTGGCACAGACTCAGGAGCTCTCGTCTCACCCAGTCCGCGTGGGTGGGTTTAGCCAGATCAGTGTGAAACTGTCTAAGTTTGGAACTTAAGTGGCTTCAGGGGAGGAAACCGACCAGGGATGGCGAGCGCCACAGATGGGATGTAGGTCTACAGGGAGCTTAGCCCTGCCTTGAGGCTTGGAGGAGCAGAGCTGGAAGGCCAGGCTAGCCCAGGGAGCCTCACAGGGTGGTGGGGACTTGAGTGTGTGTGTGTGTGTGGTTTGGTCAGGGTGATGAGGAGAAAGAGGAGGAGGAGGAGAAGGAAGAAAAAGAGGAGGAGGAGGAGGAGGAGGAGGGGAAGGAGGAGGAGGGAGAGGAGACAACAGAATGGAAGCAGAGAGAGACGCACAGAAGCTCAGAGGTGGCAGGCAAAGGCGACACTAGAAGTCAAGTCATTCATGGGACGGGCTCTGAGAGCCACTTTCTTCTGGAGGCATGTCCCCAGGCCTTGCATGTTCCCGGCTCATCTGTCTGCTTCTTCCACATAGCACTGCAAGGCCTGGTCACACGAAAACTCGTGGTTGAGAAGAACACGTACCACAACTGTTACATTCCTCCTACATCTCCGTGTAACACAGTGTTGTGATTGTCTGTGTTTTCCTCCTGAAGCTCCTCTGTGGAAGTTGCTAGTTAACTACCAGGCCTAGCCAGTCTCCCTGCGGGCACAGAGGGCAGCACTGTGCTGTGTTCCCCCCGGCTGGGGATGCTCCTGTGACGTGTGCACAGGCGGAGGGTGGAGTCACCGGGAGCTTAGGCAACGTGTCCAAGGTCACAGTTCCTTGTGACCTGCTGCGCCAGGGGTCACCCCAGGAAGCTGGATCCAAGCTCATGTTCTCTCTAAACCCAGCTCTGAGGCCTCTGGTGCCCCGCGGAGCCAGGCGCACCTGCCAAACCTGGAGTTCTCTTCTGCGCATGCTCCCTGAGCGCCTTATGCGTAACTTTCTTGTTTTTGCTGACCCTAAACATGGGGAAGCAGCAACAGACAGAAGAAGGGGATATAACGGCTATTTTTAAGTTTCAGATTTACTTGCTGACCACATCTTATCGGGCAACTTCTGTCAGTTATTTGAATTACTGCAAAATGTGTATCGTTTCATTTGAGGGAGATGAAATTAAGTGAAAGCAGCCTTTATGTTACCTTTCAAAATAATTCTTCCTTTAAGAAGTAGAAATGGCCAATAAGCACATGAAAGAATGCTCAGCACCTCTAGTCATTTGAGAAATGCAAACTGAAACAGCACTGAGAGTCCATCTTACTTACTCTGGAAAGCACCGCTGCCATCAAGAAAAAAACGACCAGTAACAAACGCTGGAGGGGAGCAGGGAAGAAACCCTTCTCTGTTATCGGTGGAATGTAAACTGGTACAGCCATTGTGGGAATCAGAATGAAGACTCCTTGGAAAATTACAACTAGAAATGCCACTTGATCCGACCACGTTCCTCCTAGGTACCTTCCCCAAACAGTTAAAAGCACTGCAGGGCAGCGAGGCAGCGTGCTCGCATTCACAGCAGCACGGTTTGCAGTACTGCACCTTAGAAACAGCCTGTATGTTCATCAACACAGGAATGAGCAAAGAAAATGTGGCATCGGGCTGGGGAGATAGCTCAGCAGTCTAAGCACCTACCTGGCAAGCACAAGGACCTGGGTTTGATCCCTGGCACCACATGCTGTGACAGGTAGCCTGGGCGTGCCATGCTGGCCCCAAAATTGGGTGTGGTGGTACATGCCTGTAATCCCAGCACTGGGGAAGCTGAGACAGGAAGATCACTATGAGTCTGAACTGCATAGTAAAACCCTGTATCCAATAAATAAAATTAAAAAAATATTTTTTAAAATGTATTTACACACAATGGAGTACTACTTTGCTCTAAAATAGGATAAACTTGAGTTGTCAGAAAATGGATGCATCTTGAGACCATAATGTCCAGTGAAGTAAACCAGACACAAACAAATGTTACATGGTTTCTCTTCTATAAGAAACTCAATACAGAAATAAAGACAGACAACAGGAAAAAAGAGAGAAAAAAGTTACTATAATTCAGCATGGACAATGTGTCCCAAAAGTATATCTTGGCTTACTGTAATTCTCTTATGTGTTTAACATGATTTTTGGCCTGTTATTCTCAATTTGTATGTACAGTAAATAACTGTACAAGAACTTATAACTAAATGAGTCCAATGCTGGCAATGAAGGGGATTAAAGATGAAGGGGAAAAGAATTGAGATGTGTTAGGTACATGCACTTTCTGTAATCATTATATACTGCAAACATGTACGAATTTAAAAAAATTAAAAAATAATGCTTCATTTGAAATGCCTAAGTCCTGAGGAGGGACACAGGTTCATGCGGAGGGGACCCTGGGCTGCCTCCACACATGGTATGCAGGGGCAAGAGGTAGGCGGGACAGCTGTCTTCTCTCTTTTTGAAGAAGCAGTATCAGACTGCACTTTTGTTCTAGCACTGGAGGTCAAACCCAGGGGCGTTCCAGCGCCAAGCTATCTTCCTCAGCCCTTTTCATCCTTGGACAGGGTCTTGCTGTACTGCCCAAGCTGGCCTAGAGCTTATGATCCTCTTGCCTCAGCCTCCCAAGTAGCCTGTATTACACGAGTATGCCATTGTGCCTGGCTCGTTTGATGCACTCCATGTATACCCATATCCATGTAGCAGGACTGAAAGGCTGCATGCCAAAATGTTGGCTTCTCAGGGGCAGAGGTGGCTTTTATGCTAGCTTTACCTTGTTTCCTGTTCACTTCTGCTTGCTGAGTATTTACAATAGATCTGGATGCCTTTCATAGCAGAGTTATTTCAAATTCTAATGACAAACAAAGGTTCTGCTTACCCCATGCTTCACAACAGCTCTGACAGATGTTGTGACAGTCCTCAGTGGTGGCCTGGCTGTCTCCTGGGTCTCAGAGCCACACAGAGGGGCCAGTGACAGCTGTGTGCTCGGGGCCAAAGCTTCCTTAGGAAAGTCGTGAGTGGGGTGTGTGTGCATACACGGTGCTGGGCGTGCGTGACATGGCAGGCAGATAAGCGTGCGCCGGCATACTCAGCAGGACCTAATGCATATGATGTATCAGACAGCGCTGTGAGTGCCGGACAGGAAAAACCTCGATTCCTCCTAAACGACCCAACGAGGCGGGCGACCTGGGACACGAGGGCCTTGCTCAGGGTCACCCTTCCCTGTCCTGCTCTGGAGCTTGGATTTAAGACAGGCCTGATGTGGCACCCAGGCACTTCCCTATCACTTTGGGAAAACCAAATGACTTTTATTTTATTTTTTAAAGGTAAGATATTTGTTCATTTATCAGTTATGTGTTTTGGGCTCTTTCCTCTTGAAAAATGACTGTGTGCTGAAGAGCATACTTCCTATGCTACAGCTATTCATAAAGAAAATGAGAAGAAGGGCTGAGACTGCAGGCAGGTTTCCAGCAGGGCAAAATGGTCACCCTTAGAGCAGGTAATACTTATAATATGGGGTCAAAGACATCCAATATGCCCCACCAGTCCTGGAGGGCGCCTGTGTGCCAGCTCAACTCGGCAATCCTTGGAAGAAGGACCTTACATTTAAGAATTAAACAGCAATGGCTAAGCAGAGCGACACACCCCTGTAATCCTAGTCACCTAGATATCTGAGGCAAGAGGATCCCCAATTCAGGGTCATCCCGGGCCACACAGACCTTGTCAAAGAACAGTTGAAACAGTCCAGTGGTTGAGCGCCCGCCTGGCACATGCAAGGCCCTGCATCTGGCCCCAGGTACCCAAATGATAAAACCTAAAAGCAGCGCCTCACAGCCCCTCTTCCAACACCGAATGACACAAATGACACGCAGCATCTAGGAGTGCCTCTGGGCGCGGATCTGTGGAGCCACACTCTCACACGAGGGCCCGAGCCGGCCCACGGGAAGCACTGGGTGGAAGGGCGACCCCGAGGGCTGCCTCCCCCTGAGTTCATCTTCAGTCAGTAAAGCCTCTGTAAGTTGACTCACTCTGTAAAAACGTCCAAGTGCTGAGGGAAACTGCCCAAGGGTGTCCGCTAGGTGAGAGGCCGTGAACTTGAAAGCCAGCACAGAAACCGCAGAAACGACCTCAGCATCGGTGGAGAGACAGTGAGCCGCAGATGACAGGACACACAAGGGCCGCCTGTGCACGGAGTGGGTACGCTTGGATGCCAAACGTGTGTGTGTGTGTGTGTGTGTGTGTGTGTGTGTGTGTGTGTTTAGTTCTTGGGACTGAACCAGAGCTACCACTGAGCTACAACTCCAGCCTTAAAATTTTTTTTATGTTATCAGATGTAAACCTGCAAAATTGGTTAAAAAGAAAATAATAAAAACAAAAAGTTATAAGAAATTAAAAGGGGCCGGGGAGATAGCTCAGTGGAATAAGCGCTTCCCTGGCAAGCGCAAGGGCCTGAGTTCAATCCCCAGTTCCACAAAAACAAAACAAAACAAAGCAAAACAACTTACAAGAAATTAAAAAGAAAAAAAGAAAAACAAACAAAGCCAAACCCTTAAGCATTAACTGCTCCTTTCAAAAGACCAACAGAAATTGGTAGTACAATTACCCAAACTATCCTGTGCATATCCCTTTTCCTTTCTTTTGTCGTTTTCCTCATTCTTTATACTTCAATGAAATTTTGTATGGTTTCTAATTTTTTTGTTACTCTTTTGTATTCTTTTTTTTTGCGGAACCGGGGATTGAACTCAGGCCCTTGCACTTGCCAGGGAAGCGCTTATTCCACTGAGCCATCTCCCCGGCCCCTATTTTG